GAAAATTGTTCAGAAGTGGGACGTCTGGCCACCTTACCTAAACTCCATCTTGCCTCCAACCTCCTTCTCTTCCTTGGAAGTGATGGACTATATATAGCCAGGCCTTTCACCAAGACCTGGAATCCCAGAGGGCCTCCCGAAAGCCCCTGTTGGGTCTATCGGAAAACCGCAGAGAGCCAGAACGCTACAGGACCGCCTGGTTTGTCCAGGTAGCTGAGGTGTTCTGCCTTCGACAGGACAGTCTTGGCACTTGCTAGCCACGAGTTGAACATTTGAGGTTTTCATCTCGGGTAGGTTCCTGCCTGACACTGGTCCCAGCTTTCCTGGGCTTTACTGTATATGCATTTTCCCCGGGAAAAGTCGTCACTGCGTGGGTTTTCTCATGCAACTCGGTCCCGAAGAAAATGATAAATGCTGTTGGTATGAGTCGTCCTCCCTAGGTTTTCCATGAATGTGACTTTTCAGAAGCAGCCCTTACTTTTTAGACACCTCTGCGTGAGTTTGAACTGTCAACCTTCCGGTTAGTAATCAAGTACTTGGCCATCTGAGCCACCAAGGGCCTCCTACTGGATAGCAGTGGTCTTCAAGCTGGGGCATGGACCCTTGGGGGAACACGCAGACACGCCAACTGCTCAGGACACAGAGGTTGTATTTTTAGACTTTTCCTTCCCAAAGTCCTCTCCACTGATCTGCTTGGAGATAATCTGGGCCGCCACTGCTGACCTCAGGGCAGCAATCGGAAGGACAATTGGTAGCAGATTTCTCTTCACGTTGGTGTTTTCAGTTCCTCAGAGAAACTGAAGTGAAGGGAGACAGGACCTCATCGAGCGGTCAGCTGACGAAGTCTAAACAGAGTTTTATGGATGATAGAACACCTTGTGGTTTGGTCACCAGACAGAATACAAGGAATCGAGTGACCCTGCTTGAAAAACGACCTTCCATTCCCAGCTGCTCATTTGATCCGTATTCTGGAACCTGTAGATTTATAAAAATCAAATCTAGGACCAAAATAAGAGCCCTGGTGGTGTAATGGGTTTTGCATTGAGCTACTAATTTCAAGGCTAGCAGTTCAAACCATCACCAGGGAGGAAGATGAGGCTTTCTACTCCTGTAAAGAATTACAGTCTCAGAACCCCTCAGGGGCAATTCTCCTCTGGCCCACGGGTCTCTGCGACTCAGAATCAACTCAGTGACAGTGTGCGGGAATGAATGCTGAACGCTGTCTCACTCAAGCAATAAATACTAGCATAGTGTCTTTGCGTTTTGCTGCTAACTGCAAGGTTAGCAGTTTGAAACCATCAGCTGCTCCAGGGAGAAAGATGAGATTTTCTACTCCCATAAAGAGTTAACGCCTCAGAAACTCACAGGGGCAGGTCTACCCTGTCCTATAGGGTGACCATTTTACTTTTTTAAAAAAATCATTTTGAGGGCTCGTACAATTCTTATAACAATCCATACATCCATCCATTGTGTCAAGCACATTTGTACATTTGTTGCCATCATCACTCTCAAAACATTTGCTTTCTACTTGAGCCCTTG